AAAAAAAGAGTATGAGAGTATGAGAGAGACGGATATAGTTTTGACGTGTGGTTGAAATCATCCTCTTTTACTCGGTGCACACGCAACGCGACAATTTTCGGATAAATATAATCGTCGTCGCGTCGATCGAACGATAAGACTAATTTTAGACATTCTCTTTGTATGTTGTGTGTGCCCTTTGAAGATACCAACTTTACCACCACCACAATCACCACCACCACAATCATCATCACCACCCTTTTTTCCTCCACACTTTTTCTTCTTTTACACATTACTCAAGGATTAATCAAGAAAACTGTGCACGATCGAGTCGTTAAAATCAGAGTTCAAATTTTGACTGTAATTTGTATTTTAACAAATGATTCTATTTTTTTTTTCTTCTTCTTCTTTTCTTTTAACAACTCTTTTATTCCATTTAAACGCACATCCTCAAACACGCATGCACTCATGTACACGTATACACGTACACATATACATATATTTGCTTATTTAGTATTGAAATGTTTTTCCTGGAAAAATAATTCTTCATTTTAAACTACGAGGAAGTTGTAAAACTTAACTTTACGAAGAACCGAATGAGAGAGAGAGAGGGAGAGAGAGAGAATGAGTATGCAACCTTTCGTAGGGTGCCGCCCTCTCCCCCATCCCATTGATATGCTCAAAACGAACTATCGTATAACTATAGGACGACAACACGCGAGACATTCCATACACGCGATCCTTAGAAACACTTCCGAAAGAACTTTCGTTCGATTTTTCTCGTTGAAATATCAATTCTTCCTTTCCCACCCTCACATTCCCCCATCCCATTCTTCTTCTTTGAATTTGCATTCCTCGAAAAAGAATAAGAAGCCGTGAGAAATCATGGAAGGTCACGTATTAAACACATAAAATCAAATCGTCTGATAGTATTTTATCGTTTTTTCTTTCTTTTTTTTTTTTTTTACGATCACTTTGACACTTCCTTATGTTTTTCTAGTTTCTAAATATAGTAATAGAATCAAATTTATATTGATAGTTATTACAAGAAAGTTCGAAGGGTTGGTTGGAAGGATAGCGTGATTCGTTGATTTATAGGAATTAAATGTTATATATCTAAAGGATTTTAATTGAATATAATCGATATTATATTTTAAGAAGAAATCACATTTTCTTTTATCAGATACTTTATCTATGAGTTAAAGAAAAAAGTATTTTTCGATAGATGTAATATATATTTTTTTTTTACACGTATATCTTTGGAAATATATCATCTATAATTTATAAAAACAAAATTAATAATATATATATTAATTTATAATATAAAATAATATATATAATATATAAATATATATAACATATAAGTATACACCTTATTTTGTTATATATATATATA